CACTCTTGAAATCTGTTTTTTAAAAATTAATTCAATATCATACGGCTTGATGTAACTCAAACGCTATAACACCGGACACAAAATAACATAACATTTAACACACACGTACACTATTTCCAAAGAAAGTACTTAATATATTTGATTATTTATCGTGGTTCTTTTATTCAAAATTACAAGCGTGTGGTAAAACAAATATGCACTTCAGACATACATACATGTTGACACGTTATATTCGATAACCTTCATTGACCCTGAACTATATGAGTGGTATTAGAAAAAAAAATGTTCCCGTTCCGTTAGCTATTTAAAATGTCGAAAATATAATTATTAGTTTGCCATTCTAATACCTAAGATAATTAATTTTTATTTTTATTATTATTATTATTGTAATTACTTATTTTTATAGTGTGCATAATACTTTAATGAAGTAATGTTGCGAGTAATTTAGGTAATATTAGACACTATCAAGATTAGCTATAATTTACCTCCAATTGTATTAATAAATAATATTATGCCTTAATTATAAAGTTGTAAACCAAGCACAACATATGAAAAATATTAAAACGTAAAAATATATCATTACGCGTAAATACTTATATTTGATATAGTTGTTTTTTAATTTTGTTTTTTATTTGGTTTAAAATCGTTTCAGAAATATATTGCTATTTTAAAATTAAACACTTATGCAACACTATAAAGTACTTGTATATACGTAGAACTAATGTTTATTTTAATATAAAATAAATATGGCACATTATGCGAGTCGGTATAAAGCTATACGAGTATCGTATATAAAGTAGAAAAGTTTTCTGAGGTCATAACTTTTAATTAATTACTTGAAAATAATTTTAATTTAAATACAAATATAAAATTAATTAAAATTCCGAATTAATCTCTCGTTGTATAATTTTCAACTCATTTAATTGTAAACAAAAATTATAAATTTGTTTTTTATTTTTATTTTTTAGTATTTTTTTTTCAACACATTTTTACAAATCAAGAAAAATCATAAAATATAAAACTGTATTACCAATTTTTATCTTACAGTCAACACGGTACTATCTAGTTATATTTTGTACATTGAACTATATATTTAATAAAATAAAAAAATGATAAGGGTTTGTAAATATTAATTTTTCAACTCCAACTCTTATACGAGGGGCATGTACCAGTGCCCCCAAAAGTACTTATACCAATTCCCTCACATATTATACATACGATTAAAATACTAATCCAGTACATAGAGGAGGTAAATCACCTAGTGCAAGAACAGAGTTTTACCAGAATACGTAATTTTAAACGCCCATGAGCTGTTTGCCGATATAAAAGTAACGAGAAATGACAATTCTAATATAAGGCTTTATCACAACACGTGTGTTATTATCATTTATTAGATCTTTATTAGATATATTTTAGTATACGAAAAACTCTGACGTCGTTAACATGATGGAACATTTAACGAGAATATTTAGTGAAAAGAGAAAAATATTATTAGTTTTAAATAATTACACTTTTTATAAAGATCGCATAACACAAATGGGTATTAAATGGCGATGTACATTAAAGTCGTGTACTTCAAAGCTTTTTATAAGTGAATATGAAAAGGTGCTTTTAAAATCAAACATAAACATTCACCGTGTAAAAATTTAACGAAAGTAACTGTTTCTAATAATCTAAAATGGAAAGCCGTGGATAATATTTCTAAACGCCCATTAAAATTATTACGCGAAGAGGTTCAATCATAAGTCTCAGATGTTTAACTTTTTTGACAAATTACATTGTATATTACCTACATATAAACAGTATATTTATTATATTATATTATATTTATTATTTAAATATTTACCTCCCTTATTTTATATTTTAATTGTGTATACTATATATGATGGCAACTGGTACATTTTTTAAATGCCGAAAACAGCTGGTGAGGATAACTGGTCAACGCCCTATACGAGAAAGGAAAATGGGATGACACAAATAATGTTAATTAATTAATCAAACAAATACGACATAGTAACACGCGATTAATATTGTGACGTTTTTCATCTCCTAACTAATTACTTGTTATTTAATGAAGGCTTTTGCTAGCTAGGAAGCGACAAACATGTAAAGGTCATATAATGTGATGGTCAAGCCGGGGCAATGAATACATCGAATGGAAATGACGCAAATACACACACGACGTACACACAGGTAATATATTTACGTTTGTAATAAAATATGAAACAAATATTATTAGCTCAGACGCAAAAAGTAATGCAAGCGCTAATAATTTTGCGTTCAATGTATGTTTGTGTACGAAAACCTGTAAAACTGTTAGTAGTGGGTATTCTTTTTCCATAAAAACCGGTCTGCACTCAAAATGATCATAAAAATATATTTTACAAAAAGCCACTGTTATTAGCAAGAACCACGCTAATTGCATAAATGTTAACACACATTAGAATATGCATAGAAAAACGTCTTTGAACACACATATACATACGTGCATACGCACGAGTTTAATAGCGTTGTATTTCGAGACAAAGTCCGTTTTGTATTTTATTACTTAAATATTTTCTATAAACGCTGCTACGACAACGACCTTGTCGAGCGACAAAACTTCATAATATAAATAAAAAAATCTCAACCACAATCGTATGTTACAAGTGCAAATCTACCTATAATGAAGCTTACTTACAGCAACGAGTACACACTGCCGTCCGTTTATAAGTGTTACTCGTATACATTATGTACACGCATTTATGTGAAAAACACGTGATTTCAAGTATGTCACATAAACGAACAAGTACTTTTGATAGAAAGGAACATATTATAATAATATAAACAAAATCGAAGTCGTTGTCGTCATCGTCGAGCATAAACCTATAATAATAGAGCCTTTAAAATGCGATTAAATACTTACAATGTATAAAATACTTATAATAGGTACAACATATGGTGCGTCGAATATACTTTGACCGTGCGGAAGGAAAGGTGGTGATGTTTTTGGCTTGTATGAAAAAAAAGAAAAAAATTATCGCGTTGATATAGGACACAATAATAATAGTGTCGTCGAGAAGAGAAATAGACGAAGAGAGTGCGAGAGTAAGAGAGAACGTGTGATGGCGGCGCGTAGGTATAGAATATTATAATACTATAGCGGCAGTTGCCGACGTGCCAAAAATAAGAACTCCTCCGTTTTCCGATTGCCAACGCACGTATCATCCCAGTATTACCTATGATCGGAGCTCAATCGGTGCGTACAGTCACGGCAATAATTATTGAGGCAGTAAGCATGGTGGCAATTTCTAGAAATAAAAACGACGAAGAAAATCACACGACCAGCTGTGCTGCTGCTCGATACGAGCATATGCTCGATATCTCGCTATCTCAATCGTGCAAGGCAGCGGCATAACTCCGTAACACTATCGATTTTTATTACATCGTTTCGTATATCTCGGTTATTTCTCAACAACAAAACAACCGTCGCGCCGTCAAAAGGAAAATAAAATATTACACTAGATTAAACATTGGTTGGTAATGACAAGGGAATGATACATAAAATATGTGTGTACAATATGTACACGTGTTATTATTACGAGTTTACACAATCAATATGGCACAGCCAAATTCACATTATGCCACAACACATCGGCGACCGGTATATCTCATCTACGCACGCACGCACACGTGTGCAAATAAAAATCAATTAACTATAGTTATATACTATACTATATTATATATATATATATATATATATATATATATAACCGTAGAAATGGCCAGATTAAGATAAATATACTAAACTTCTAGCGAGAGAACACGTGTTACGTGCGAGCACGTCATAACACACACACACTGTTCGTACAAGGAGGATAAAAGCTGTGGTTTATTTTATTTTCTTACACATGGGTATTTTTATTTCGGACGCAAAAGATAGTATACGCATTAATTGAAAAACGACGTTTGAACACCGAGCCTACGAAAACAACATTTGCGTAATCTTAAACGAAGATTCGCAATATCCTATAAACAGTGAAAATATTAATATACACATCAACAGACATTTATTATCGATTAAAGTTCAAGAAATATTGCCGTAGCCAGACGGTTAAAAAAAAAGCCACGCAGCATATTTTAAAAACCGATTTGTTTACGATTTTCGTTGTCTCTCGACTTCGTATGCGCCAAGAACACACTCAACGAATTATGTTGAAATATCACATAACGCAACGCATGAAACGTCGATTATTCTATACGTGTATATTACGAGAGTCAGATACGAGACGAAAAAAAAAATTATATTATTATACGTTCATTACAGTTTGTTATTATTGTCCGGGCGCTCAATACTAATGTATTGAGACCACGAGGTAATTAAGACTACGAGGTAACACGCAGCTGCGGGTGTCTACAACGAACGTACCCGTCGCACACGATCACCACACCCGTCCGTTGTCAACAGTCGTCGTGATATCCCTGAAAATCATCGGAGACGAGAGTACGACTACGCATTCGTGAACTAGATACCGAGAACGTGGTGCGCGGAGGGCGTAAATCTACCGTAAATTTCATTACGCGTAATCGAAACGCCGGGGGGATGAGCGCGACGGTTGTGTGCAACACACGCACAACGGTAGCAACGGTGTCGTTCGGTTAATTTTCGCGAGTGCCAAACGCTGCCGCCGACGCGAAAACACGCAACTATATCATCGATCCGCCATGGTCCGTGTTCATATCGTAAATATGAGAAAAACATGCGGGGCCGAAACACCACACGGTCATTATTTTTATTGATTCGCGTACCTCATCGACGGTAATAATTGTGTATACGTAACCCCACCGTCGTCTAGAACGCGATTGTGCGCATAATTATTACCTATTACAATATAATAGACATAGAAAGGCAAGTTGAATAAACCTTTTACTTAACATACCATTCCCTCATCTCTTTTTGTGGTCGTTTTGTGTGTGTACACTCATGCAGGTGTGTGTGCGTGCGAGTGTGTATGGCTTACCGGTGGAATTGTCGCGGTAGCAGACACCGCCGACGTCCGGGTATGATGATGTTGCTGTTGCCTTGGTCTAGCGGAGGTCCGTTGTTTCTGATGTCTAGGCGACGACGGCTTAACACCGGTCGACGATTTGGCGGCGGAGTGTTGCTTATGTTTCGTCGACTTGGTAGAGGCCGCGGGTTGAACGGCTGTCGAGGCGGGTGTCGCTGTCGTCTCCGAACTAGTGTCTGCGGACGATTTTCTGCGGAACGCTTTTAGCCAGCCCAACCGTTTGGAGTGTGTTTCCGCAGCCCTAGAACCGACCTTCGGGCTAGAAACTTTGCCCTTCTTCCTGTCACCAACAACGCCGCTGCGTTGTTGCAGCTGGTGCTGCTGTTTCCGACCGTCGCCAGCTACCCCACCGTCATCCGCGGTCGAATTTTGCTCCGTTGAACCGCCGTCACTTTTGGGGGTCAGCAGCTGATGCTTGGCGGCGTGTTCACGTTCCAACTTCTTCAGCTCGGACTCCACCATTGTCAGCTCGTTCAGGTTGCTTTCGATCATCGGCAGACCCGCCGGCAGCCGATCGCTGTCTGTGTCGCTGCTGCCGCTCGACGAAGACAGGGGTGGTTTTGGCGTCGAACGCTTGGGCGGCGGCGCAGTCACAGTCACCAGCGGCTGGTCGTCGATCTGCACATGTGGCGTCACTCTGAATCGGCTTTTCTTCACCAGCACCGGAGTCGTTTTCGAAGTCTCGCCTTCACCCGTTTTTCCTGTCATTCCCAAATCTGCCCCTACCACTGCGGTCCCTTTGCTACTAGCTTTCAGTTCACCCTGATTCCTAGTCGATCTCTGCAAGGTCTGCTTTAGCTTTTCAGGCGCAAACTTCGCCCAAGCCGTCGACTTCCATACGTCGTCCCACGTGCGCATAGTTAATTTGAATCTCGATTCCATAATTGACTTTTTACTCCGCAACCGGATCAATGGCGTACCGTCCTTAGTAGTTAATACACCGTGATTTGGGTCCGCGGGCAATCGCTGTGGACCTCCATTATCATCTTCGGGTGAAGACGTCTTATCATCGCTATCCAGTAGCTCCTGTTTCTGCTCTTGCAGTTCCTTTTCACCATCATCGGCACCCTATCCGGAAATACACGTGGTCAATATACCGCGTGTGTTTCAATGGAATGTGTAATCACACGCGTTATATATAATGATATATTATACACATAAGACTCGTTGGAAGAAATAGTTACACAACTGGACATTGTCACCCCACGTAAAACAACAACATTGTAAAACATGATGATTAAGATTTTTTTTATTGTCCCGATTACATAAACTATTATTACATTATTAACTTTATTGCAAATATCAAAAAAATGTTAACGAATAATACAGGTGTTTGTAATTAGTAGATAACAGTACTGAAGGTCGCAAAACATGTCTACTGATATTATGTGGTTATTATAGATTTGTTTATGCGAGATACAAGACAACCTGATATCTCAATTGCTTAAGTTTCAAGTAAATAACGATTAGTCGACAATACAATTAAAAAGATTACCACAATTGTAGTGCAAACGAGAAAGTGTAAGATATATATTTTAGATTTGTGTCAAAATATTGGCGACGTTTTAAGTTTTTTAGTTAACACGAAATATTTATTTTTGACGTTGAGCGTTAACTTTGCAATACTATAAATATCGTATTACTGCAAAACTCAACGATTTGGAAAATTCTATATGAACCTGAAGAATGCTAACTTTATTACTATTAATACTACTACTACTCATGGGCACCGGAACAATGGAGGGAAACGGAGGCAACTGCTGCCACGGGAAAATTCCGTGAGGGCGTAGCCCCCCACGGACATTTTATTAGAATTTACACTTCCGTGACTAAAATAGATAATCCATATTCTATATTAATTTTAATGTTGAACTAAGAAACAAGACTCAAATATATTTAATAAACTGTCCGTTTTTAAATATGAACATACACATACAGTAAACTAATAGTTTTATATAGAAATAACTTGCATGTACTATGTATGTATATAAGAATAAGATAACACGGAGACAATTATCCCTTATTTAGAAAATGGAAAGAATTTAATATTAAACCGCAACACCCAAAATAGAATAGCTTTCAGAATAGGAAATCCACTATCGCGACTGTACAATAGATTTATAACCTAATTTATTTCAAGAATCATTTGGTTATCAACAACCGATGTGGTTATTGAACACAGACGTTATAATATATCTTTACCTTCCTCTGTATTTGTAGCTGTGTTCAACCCCCAAGGTTCAAAAATTGTTTCGGCACCACTGCTACTACTACTACTACTACTACTATTACGTAAAACCCCAATGAGCGATAGTGAAGGCGGAGGGGAATCTAACCACAGCGGCATCGCCGTTACACGACGGCGGGGTAGAGCTCTTAACGTTGGGGGTTATTTTTAACGGATAACGACGCGACACAACGCAGTAGCGAAAAATAAGAAGAGTCGTTTGAGATAACAGATAATAGAGACAAAACGTACAGAGAACAAAACTATTCTCCTAAATAAAAACGTTTCCAACGAGTCTATTTGTATAATTTCGAATGGGAAGTACCTCATGCGGATTTCGATCAAAAATCCGTTCCAATTGCTGTTTGGCCGGCTGGTTGCCGCTGTCAATGATCACTGGGCCACATGTTTGAGTCTGTTGCGGTGGCTGCTGCGTGTCGTACTCGGCACCAGTCGAATGATGAACGTCACCACCGCCGTCACCACCCTTGCCGTCTTCCTCGTCAGAAGAGTGTTCTTCTGTCAAGTCTTGCATTTCTTTTGACTTGCAGTCAAGCGGTTTGAACAAGTCGCGGACGCTGACCTTGCGCGAAGGGTCGGCCATGTCCAAGTATGGTCCGACGGTCTGCGTGTAATCGTTGGAAAACCTTGAGTTGATGTCGTTCACTAGGCTAGTAGCTTTGGCGACTACAGGGTCGGCCGCCGCGGCGGTTTCTGCAGGCTCGTCGTCTTCGGCTGAGGACTCCTCCTCGGCCACGGCCACAAGGTTGTCGCACTCTTTGGACTTGACGCTGAGCGGCACGAACAGCTCGTCCAGGTTTACCGGGTTCCGCCGGTCCATCACGGGACCGCACGTTTTACTGTAGTCGTCGTCGTCGTCCATCATCGCGAACAGAAACACCGGACGGCGTGAATTACGACGCGCACGCGCGCGCGTCCGTGTGCAACGTGTGCGGTACCGCTGCAGTAACAACGTCGCAGTACCAGTACGCGCGTGGGGCTGTCCCGGCCGCAACGTTTATAATATAATATTAAGTTATGTACCGCTCTCCGTAAACGTACAACACCCGAGCACGCGTACCCTCGTCTATTTCATAATACCAGTGCACGTACACACACGTTCGATTGCGGTCGCGGATCGACCGGTTTTTTTTCTTCTACCTTTCGTCGCCTTGCACGTCCCGCGCGTACGAAATTACAAGATATACAAACAATGCACACGTTCAATAAAAGCGCAAAACCACGGCGAACGGAATGATGTACAAATGTGCAACGAACGAGTACACACGGACGACCACGGAATACTGCTGCTGAATATTTATAGGCCACGGGATCGGGCGCGCAACGACGTGTGCACTTCGCGTTACACACTTAACACACGGCGCGAGATAAACACACCGACTACACACGGCGTGTGTGGAAACGGACTGCCCGTCGCCGCCGCCGACGCCGCCTTCGAGCAGTCGGTCGGTCATACGGACCCGCCGCCGCCGCTGATAACGCGCGCGCCACCATACACGGGGCCGCCGCCGACACGGTGTTACCGAAGCGACCGCCGCGCGCGCGCTCGAACGTTCGCAACGGCGGCGGCAGCTCGTCCGTCGCCCAACAGCAGCAGTGTGGCAAACAACTGGTAGAACGTGCATTGTACGTACAACGATGAAAACCCATATTCCTCGACAAATGGCGTTTGAGACACGATATTCGCCAAAAATGCTTTTATCCAAATTTCCGAGAGAAAAAAAAACCCGTACTCGTGAAACGCGTAAATTCTTAGCGTTCTCGGGCAACACCATAAGGCATCATCGTCTTGGTACACCGCGATGAATCGTTTTTATTACTGTACCGAATTACGGTTTGTTAATTTGTTCGTTTGACCGAGTGTGTACGTCTGTATAACTTCAGCTTCCCACGGTTATGTGATCATAATTTTCCACGGCACCACTTAATAATGGTACCGGCGTTTATTACACTACACGGTGGCTGTGGTTACGAAAATGCATTCAATTTATTACATAATGTCTAATCGCCTTTAATCATCACTACCCAATTCGATTAAATAAATAATTGGAGCACTAATTATTTCGTATTATATTAAACTAAACGTGGTCGTATAATATCCGAATGATAGGTGCACGAATGTATAAAAATATAATGCATAGGAAAAAATAATTTTTTTTCTAGTCTTGTTCAACTAAACATATTGACAAATATCATTAGATGTTATCAATGACAATATAATGCTAACTGTATAAAAGCAGTTAAAAGAAAATACATAGATAGCAACGTTGGTATTTATAATTGATATATTATGAAATTTAAACGGAATTGTTATTGATTCAATGTACATTATTCTACATAGTGAGGTCTTACATTAAACTGAAAAACATGTGATACATTATGTATTAAATGTTATTATGTTTAACCATGGTTTTAATCAGATATTAAAATAGACACAAGTATTAGCCATTGCAAATGTTTTTATTAAAATGATTGATTATAAATTAAAAATTATTAAATCCGCGTGTAATAAGTATAATATATAATATAATAATATTTTACTAAAGAATACTCGTAAATAATAGTCTAAGTTATAATTTTATATTACATTATACACAGTTTATAAATAATTTTTAAATCATAAATATATATATATTAACTTCGTGTTATTTTACACTAAAAATTAACTAAATTAAATTTAGTTTGCAATAACAAACCTACAATATTTAAATATTTTGAAAGGTAACAATCAAATATTATAATTGTTGTGAATGAAGCTAATAGAGAAATAACAAAATCTTGCAATACGATAAATGAGTAATGCATTTTCTAAGTCACTTTTTTAACTATGAAAAACATTAATTACGAATAATAAAATTGTATGTTTTTCCATTTCACAAATATTTACTTTAAAAAAAATAACATTTATATGCTTAATTACCTATTAGTGGAAAAAAATAATATTTCTGATGTATTAAATAAGACTCTTGGGAAATAGAAAAGAAAATTCAAAATATATTCAAATTTGTAATGTTATTTATTAGGTAAAACTTAATTATTTATTTATGCGTGACACTTAACTGATAATTAGAAGATTTTAGAAAAATATGCAAAATACAAAGTAATTCTTCTAATGAGAAAAAGTTTTAAATTAAGAGTATAGAATTTCTAATACGAAAAACAATATAAAAGTTATACTTTAAATCCACCAACATGTATAGTTGTTGCATGAAATGAAAAGATAGTCTTATATTTCATATATTCATAAAAAACAAACAATTAACAACATTATCTATTTTTGATGCTTTACAATTATAAATTATTTGTTTAAAATAATTAAATTAATGTATATATATATATGTTAGTTCAATTTTTTTTTCAAATAAACCATTAACCCAACTTTCTTTCGCGATTATACACTTATCGTGGGCGAGTAAGAGGTAACTGCCGAAGGCACTATATATTTTATTTTATTTCAATAATTTAGGTCAACAAAATATAAAGTCAATAAAAATGAAAATAATAATATTAATATACGTTGCAGAAATGTTTAAGACTTGGTAAAATAACTGAAGATTTTTTGTCGCGGTTTTTCATCATTTGTACATATCAATAAAATGCACTCGATTCAAAGGTCAATGCCAATTCCGAAAACTACTAATCAGCTATTATAAATTAATATTTTTTAATAACTATGTTTTCCTATATTCATATGCATTAAAGTTAGAACTGCATATTCACTATAGAAATAGCAATATCGCAATAGTGATTAAATAAATATGGAACGGCCGCCTGTCAATATGGATTCGAGTATACATAATAATTAATAACATATACATGTATTCATATATATAAAAACAAACACATATTTATACCTAAAACAAAGGTACGAGTGCTATATTATTTTTCACACCAGTTTTGTTTCCTTAATTATGTTATTTTACATTATGCTACTTGTTAATAGTTCATAAATATCCAACTATGAACTATGATCAATTAATTCGAATGAAAATATATTATGTAGTATATTAAGTTCATTGGTTGAATATATCAACTATGGACCCACATTTAATAAACTGTTTATATGCGGTCGACACAAAGTTGTAAATGTAGAATTAAATATACATACACATATATACGTATTAAAAATGGTTACATAAATTGTAAACGACATATTTTTCATAACAATATTACAAACGTATACAATGCGAAAAAACCAGTTTGAGATAACCTTGGATAATAGATAAATTATAAATTAGCTAAATGACCGTTTGTATAATGTAGAATAAATAATAACTATTCAAGTATTTTTTTTCTGAGGAACGCTTATTTTGTATGATATTAAAGTGGTACTTAATAAATGCTCAACAAATATCATTAAATGTATACAGAGTCTAAATAAATACTACCCTTCAGTAAAAATGCGTTTTTACACAATGTTAAATAATTATTAAATTTAAGCAATAAACAAAAACTAATGAAACGTAAACTTCATACTATTTAAGATACTATACTATTATGTAATTTATACATATACATAAATTTTAAATATATTGTTTTATAGTGTTAATACTAAGACTTACTAATCGCAACAAATTAAAACTGAAAATACTTGTTTTTCAAGCTTAAACTATAAATATATATTATATATTAGAGAGCATACAATTTATCTATAAAACAGATAGAAAATATAATATTTAACCTCAATGGGAATAATAAATTATGAAAAACAACAACTAAAAAATTGAATTTTTCGGATTTATGTTATGTTGGTATAAATTTGTTTTACATAAAACAATATTAATTACACGTTCAAAGTTGGAAAATGTTGATTTCAAAATAAATAATTCAGTTTTATTTATATACCGTATACAATTTATATATTTGCGAGTATGTACGTACAAATAGCAAAAATTCATCGGCAAATGTAAAAAAAAAAAGATACCTAATCTCAAGTAGCTTTAACTGAAATAAAAAACAAAAATAAACAGTGAGTAACGTATATGTAATATTATAAAAAAAAGAAATTAATAATTAAAATTAATTACATTTTTTCGATGTGAGATTTAAAAACTCAGGTTGTTGACTTTTGTTCATACATCTAAGCATGATAGTCTATTTTAGTTTAATGGATCTATATTTTAGCTACATCGTACATTATTTTTAATAAAACATAATGAAATCCATTTGTTCGATCAAAAAAAGTTTCCAATTTTACTGTTATATAATATGAGCATAATATTATATTAAAAGGACGTATTAGAATACCAAAAAATATCAGTAGCAAGAAATTATAATGCCCATTGGGGTGAAATTTTTAAACAATATGTGTATAGATATATAAATTGACATTTGAATAAAGTAGTGCTTTAAGAAAATAAATTAAGGACCTTTTTCTGCTAAAGGTAACTTCATTTTATTGAGTTTACAACAAATACGAAATTGTACTTCAAAACTTAACTGTATACATATTAATATTATGTTTGCATATTCTGATACTTTAAGCAATCGTAAGATCATATTTATGCAAGTTCCTTTAGACACAAATATTATACCTAAGAATTCGCTTCTGATATATTCTATCTACAAACAAAATATAAGCTACCTATATGATGAATATAGACGAGGAATAGAATATTTATTGAAAACTTTTTTTAATAATAAATATATATATCATCATGACATGAATCGGTACAAATATACTGTTAAGAAACTTGTGTTAAGTATTAAATAATTTTTTATATTAAAACTAAAAAATTAGATTCCGTTGAGTTCAAATATTTTATAAACAATAAAAGTTATATTAAATTAAATATATAAATTTTATTAAAGAATAAATGAAAATTAATAACTTAAAAGTCTAAGGGATGGATAAAATATAAAGTTAATAGTTAACACTGTTTGTTTATATCATAATCACAGATTTAAGATTATATTTAAACTCTTAAACTGTTGATAAAATTTCTGACTTCAAGGTTATATATATATATTATTTACACCTTATAAGTTACCATTTACATGTCACAATCGGAATTTCACCCAACAATTTAATTTTAAAAAAGAAAACGTTTGAATTAATTCTGTTAAATTAAACTATATAGGAAGTTTGAAAAATAAATCGTAAATAGTAATCCACCAATTACATATAAATTGTAAGTTGCGAAATATACTCCAGATATATTTGATTAAATTATGTTCAGCATAAAATAACTAAAAATGTAGTTATCAGTAATGTAGTTCTATAGAGTACAATAAAACGTATTTAAAAGATATATTTTATGGTAATGATCTAAAATATAACTACAGCAATTGCAAATCAATTAATTTCATTAGAACTCAAGGTCACTGTACCAAGTAGGTAAAACATACATTGATAGTTTATGTATTCTCAATTCTTCTAGATAGCGCTAGTAAATTCAATTAATAACAATTA